GTGGATTCATTTAATATAATATGTTATATAATATACTATGGTGTAATGTAATGTAATATAATAAATATAATGTAATATATTATGTCATATACTATGGTGTAATGTAATATAATATAATATAATTAATATAATGTAATTAATATAATCAGCCTTCTAAGAATATGGAGTCAGATCCATCTCTTCCCTCATCCTGGAACCCTCACAACCACCACAGTGCCCGGGGGCTGGTGGCACACGGCGAGTGCCCCGTGGGAGTCACAGCATGTCAGGGCTGGTGTGTGACACTGCCACGTCCCAACCAACAGCAGGCAGCGGGAGGTGACACCCGGCTGTCCCCAGGTCCCAAACCACAGCCAGCGGGAGGTGACACCCGGCTGTCCCCAGGTCCCAAACCACAGCAGGCAGTGGGAGGTGACACCCAGCTGTCCCCAGGTCCCAAACCACAGCCAGCAGGAGGTGACACCCAGCTGTCCCCAGGTCCCAAACCACAGCCAGCGGGAGGTGACACCCGGCTGTCCCCAGGTCCCAAACCACAGGCCACGGGAGGTGACACCCGGCTGTCCCCAGGTCCCAAACCACAGCCAGGCCACGGGAGGTGACACCCGGCTGTCCCCAGGTCCCCGTCCCAGCACTTGCCTCCACGGAGCAGCGGCGCTGGCCGTGGTTGCGGTAGCGCACGGAGGCCACCGGCGAGCGGCCCTGTCCCTCCGGTGGGGACAGCGGGCTGCCGTCAGCTGCCAGCTCCCTGCCCAGCTGTGCCAGCTGCAGGTGTCCCTGAGCCAGGTCTGGGGGCGAGAGGAGAGCAGAGTGAGCTGCGGGGGTGGCGGCAGGAGCGCCGAGGAGGGAGGGAGGGCAGGGCAGGGATGCTCTGGGGACGCGGGGATCGCTTCTTCCTTCTCTGTGTCCACAGGGAATTCTGCGTTCTGGATTCCTGGGGCGCCAGGAAATGCTGAAATCTCTTTAGTACCAGGAATCCTGTTTTGAACAGGATGAGTCCAGGGGCTGCAGCACCAAACTGGGCGCGCTGGGAGCCAGGGTGAAGCACTGGACGGGTGCAGAAAAGGTCAAGCAGGAGCCATCCCTCCCTTCTCCCAGCTTTGCAGCCACGCTCCAAAAACCCCAAAAAAACCCAAAAATCCCTGCAAATGCTCCCTGGAGCGAGGTGAGCAGTGAAAGTGCCCCGGGAGCACGCCAGGCTGAGCTCAGCCCTGTCCCTGCCCTGTCCCTGCCCTGTCCCTGCCCTGTCCCCCGGGCCCAGGCGACAATCCGGGCTCCGGGATGATCTCAGGGCTGAGGAGGGAGGCAGGGAGGGAGGCAGGGCTGATTTTCACGGGGCACTGAGCAGGGCTAGGACCTGGCTGCGTTTGCCCGGCTGACGGATGAGAGGTGGCAGGCAAGTGACCTGGCAACGCCGTGGGTCTGTGCCACGGTGCCCAGCCCTCACCTCCCCCGTGCCAGGGGGGTTGAGAGGGGCTGGAATGGTGCCAGGGCTTTTGGGCACGCAGTAAAACCCCTCCTCTGCTCCCTGTCCCTCTGCCTCCATCTGTTTTTACAGCGACAGGCAGGAAATGTCCCCTAAATTAACCACAGGTATGAGAATAATGTGGATTAATTCAACCGGACCGAATCTTTTTCACTTCCTCGTTTCCCGGGCGGATTGCAATCAAGGAAAGCAAAGGACATTTAAGGCCTGACTGAACGGAGCCTGAGTAACTGCTGGAAATGATATTTTGGGTGGATTTGTGCTGTTCTCACAGGTGAAACAAAACCAGAGCTGGGCAGAAGGTGCAGCCTGCAAACCTGCAGCTCTGACTGCAGAGGAGCAGAGACAAACTCTTTGTCATATCTGATGTAAAATCAGAGGTGAATCCACAACCCAGACACTCCAGTGTGAGAGGAATGGAGGATTTGTCTTTCCAAACAAGCTGTGGGTCTGCTGGTAGATAAAACCAGCACTGAGAGATAAACAATGGGAAGGATTCCACTGCTTGATGAATGGGGAAAGATATTTGCTTTACAAATAAACTTCAGGTTTGCTGATAAATGAAACTGGACATTGAAAGATGAAAGAAACAATTGGGAAAAATCCCTAAATTCCATAGGAATTAAAATTGAAAGGGAGGTTGTACATTAGAGGGGAATCTCTGGTATCAGGGGTTTTGGGAAGTCTGAACCTCTCGAGGACCTCAGAATTGGGGAAAGAGAGGAAAATATGGCTGGGAAATTGGGATGAAAAGGAGGCTGCAGCCTCCAAAAATGTGAGAGACCCCAGAGAATGCCCCACAGCCTCTCCCTTTATTGGAATAAAGTCAAAGCACTCCTCTGTCTCCTTTTTGGACATAGACCTCTGATGCTTGTGGATTCATTTTCCTAACAAGCGGATCCAAAAGAATGGGGAAAGCAGGTCAAAATTCACAGAAAGCTCGCAGAGGTGAGGGGAGAGGGGTCTGGGCTGCCCTGGGGCAGGGATGTGCCAGCCCTGCCCTCCCTGCCCTGACACCGGCAGATTCCCAATCCCGAAGGGCTGGAGCTGCCCCCGGGGCTTGCAGGACCCTGCAGGAGCTCAGGATGAAGCTGTGAGCTTGCAGGACCTTGCAGGGAGCTCAGGATGAAGCTGTGAGCTTGCAGGACCCTGCAGGAGCTCAGGATGAAGCTGTGAGCTTGCAGGACCCTGCAGGGAGCTCAGGCTGGAGCTGTGAGCTGGCAGAACCCTGCAGGACCTTGCAGGGAGCTCAGGGTGGGGCTGTGAGCTGGCAGGACCCTGCAGGACCTTGCAGGGAGCTCAGGGTGGGGCTGTGGGCTGGCAGAATTCATTCCACGTGAATTCCGGGAGCCCTGACACAGAACAGATCGGGGCTGCTGCCGTACCAAAGAGGAGGAGAGCAGCCACAGGCAGCCCTTTTATAAACACATTTCAACTCCTCCTCTGCCAAAAGCAGCTTTGATGTCCCAAGGAAAGGGGCCAGACCCTCCTCTGCCTGCCTGGCTCCCAGCTTCTCATTCCTTTGCTGCTCTGAGCTCGTGTTCTTCATCCTCCCTCCTCCCCCTCACCATCATCTCTTCAGGGTTTGGTGCCCCCAGGTCAGAGCTGGCTCTGGTTCATCCCTTCCAGCCCAGACACTGAATTTTGGGTGCTCTGGGAGGGCAGAACAGGCTGGGGGTGTTTGGGGGCTGCTGCTGGCCGCCCCCAGCTCTCATCAAAGCCACCAAGCCCTGGTTCCTCTGTAAAACAGACTCAGGCTCCACCAAGGTGACATTGCTGGTGACAGGAGGTGTCTGGGCTGGAAAACTGTTTGATTTTCCAGCCTGGGAAAAAAAAAACAAACAAACCAAAAAACAAAAACCAACCAAGCAGTTTTTCCTCCTTTTATCAGCATCTGTGGGGGTGAGGTGGTGAGAATGAGGGGACGGGGAGGCAGGGCTGGGGTTTCTCACCACATGGGGCAGCTCTGTCCCCTGCTTGTCCCCTCACAGGAGCCACAGCAGCTCTGGAGCAGCCTGGGGTGGTGACCTGTGCTCACTGCAGTGGGAGCAGCTTTGGGGTCCCTTCCAAGCCAAACCATTCCTGATTTTGTGATTCCTGAGGAGGCCTGGCCTCCTCCTGCTGCCCAAGGATGGGTCCAGGCACTCAGAGCCACCAAGGTTTGGGATTTGCAGCCTGGGAGCGCTGGGAGCCAGGGATTTCTGAGGCTGGAGGGAAAACAAACCCCAGGCAATCCCTGAGGAGCCCAGGAGGTGAGGAAAGGAGAGCTGAGTGTTGATCCCTGCTGGAATCAGCTCTTGTCCCTGGAGCCACGATCACCTCAGCTGTCCCTGGCTGTCACCAGTGGGCTCTGGACTGTGGGGACACAGCCCGGGGACAGCCCCAGACATGCTGGAGGAAGGGGAAAGCTGCAGCAGAGCTGTTTGGGGCACAGGAGCTGCTGCACCAAAGTCTCTTTTCCCCTCTGCCCTTTGGCTCCCCAGCTGGAAAAGGGGCACCAAGCCCCTGAAGAGATCCAAACTCAGCTCCAGGCTGCCCACGAGCCCCGTGAGAGGCTGGTGACACCCCGGGTGACAGAGCCAGGCTCACACTGCCCTGCTGTCCCCTGGCTACCTCAGCACCAAGCCCAGGGGCCCTGGCAGACCCTGCTGCCCCTTTTGCCACCCAAGGGCAAAGGAAGAGCTCGAGAGGTCTCGTTAAAGCAGAACAAGAGGGAAATCACCTCTGGGGGCTGCAGAGGAGATAAGGAGGGGGAGATAAGGAGCCCACATCCCACAGCAGGAGCAGTGCCCCATTTTATCCCCACAGCTCCTGCAGGGCTAATTAACAGTTCAGGTCTAATTACCGCCCTCACTGAGGGCTGCAGTGTGTGGGAGTGAGGCAGGAGCCCCGGGGTGCTGCTGGGGTGTCTGCAGAGGGGAGGGAAGGAGGGAAGGTGGCTCTGGAGGAGCTTCCAGCATCCTCGGGCAGCCTGGCTGGCACGGCCGGTGCCAGGCGCTGCCACCAGGGCCCAGCCCCCGTCAGAGAGGGCAAACAGAGCCCCAAGGGAGCCGAGGGCACGGCGAGGGCCGGGCTGCGGCACAGCTGGCAGGAGGCAGAGGGCATGGCCGGGATGTACCCCGGCAGGAGCCCAGCCCGGCTCTGCCCGGCTCCCCGAGAGCTCTGCCCGGCTCCCCAAGCTCTGCCCGGCATCCCAGGAGCTCTGCCCAAGCTCTGCCCAGCTCTACAAGGCTCTGCCAGGCTCTCCCCAAGCTTTGCCAGGCTCTGTCCAAGCTCTGCCCAAGCCCAGCCTGGCTCCCCAGGCTCTGCCCAGGCTCTGCCCAAGCCCAGCCTGGCTCCCCAGGCTCTGCCCAGGCTCTGCCCAAGCCCAGCCTGGCTCCCCAGGCTCTGCCCAGGCTCTGCCCAAGCCCAGCCTGGCTCCCCAAGCTCTGCCCGGCTCCCCAAGCTCTGCCCAGGCTCTGCCCATGCCCAGCCCGGCTTGCCCCAGCACGGCTGCCCTGGCCGGGCTGCTCCCATCTCCTGCAGCATCCCCGAGCCTGCCCCAGCCTGCTCCGGGCTGTGTTGGCTCAGGGGATGTGCGGGTTTGGATTTAACCCCTCATCTCCCTGTGTGCTGAAATGGGCTGTGTTTGCTCAGGGGATGTGCTCGGTTTGGATTTAACCCCTCATCTCCCTGTGTGCTGAAAACCAACGTGCAGGGAGGAGCAAAGGCTGCCCCAGTGTGCTGCCCAGGACAGAAGGGCCCCCTTGCCTTTGGGAACATCTGGAGCCCCCACAGGGGTCACCCCCTCTTTTGGGGAAGCAGGGGGACATCCCACTCTTTCCCACTCTCCACCTTAACCACAGCTCCCCATTTCGTGCAAATTCCTTTCCCTCCCATCCCGCTTTCCCGGGGCAGGATAAATCCCTCTGCAGCGTTAACACCGAGGTGTTATTCACCCCCAGAGGACAAGGGAACACCTCCACACACCCCAGAGTGCCCGGGGGAGGGCTGGAGAGGCTCTCGCCCACCCCAGGTGGGCTGAGCAGGCAGCCGGGGCTCCTCACCTTCGTTCCTCTGGTTGTTGAGCTGGTTGAACTGCTCCGTGAACTCCGTCAGAGACTCCTCGATGGTCTCCGTGCGCGGCACCGAGAGCGAAAACCTCCTCTTGAAGTTTTTCATCTTGTTCATCTTGCCTCGTGCTGCCAGGGAGGGCAGAGCCCTGCGGGGACGGGGACAGCAGGCTCAGAGGGCTGGGCAGCCCTGGGATGGGCCCACAGCCCCACAACTGCTGCTCTTTGGGGTGGCAGCATCCTGACCCCAATTCCCACCCCACAGCTGCTGCTCTGTGGGGTTGGCAATGTCCCTACCCCAATTCCCACCCCACAACTGCTCTTTGGGGTTGGCAGCATCCTGACCCCAATTCCCACCCCACAGCTGCTGTTCTTTGGGGTGGCAGCATCCTCACCCCAATTTCCACCCTACAACTGCTCATCTGTGGGGTTGGCAAGGTCCCTACCCCAATTCCCCCCCCACAGCTGCTGCTCTGTGGGGCTGGCAATGTCCCTACCCCAATTCCCCCCCCACAGCTGCTGCTCTTTGGGGTGGCAGCATCCTCACCCCAATTTCCACCCTACAACTGCTCATCTGTGGGGTTGGCAATGTCCCCACCCCAATTTCCACCCCACAGCCACTGCTCTTTGGGGCTGGCAATGTCCTGACTCCAATTCCCACCCCACAACTGCTGCTCTTTGGGGCTGGCAATGTCCTGACATGAATTCTCTGTGGTTTTGAGAGCTGGCTCTGGTCAGGAGGTGCAGGAAGAGTGGGGTTTTTTGAGCCCAGAGCAGGGCTGTGCACACTCAATCACAGCTGTGCCTTATGGCATCCTTGGAAACTCCAGGAATGCCTGGACAGGGGGGAAAGCAACGTGAAAACAGAAGGAAAGCAAGAAAAAGACAAAAAAGCGATGGAAAAGACTCAGTCTCACGTTTCTCACTGGAAAAGGAGACTCCTCTCCCCCAGTTTGGCCTCGGCTTTGCCCTTGCAACAAAGACTTGCTGAGCCAGCAGCGAAGTGCTGAGTGGGGGCAGCAGGGGCAGGGGGATCGCCGAGCCCCAGCCCCGGGAGATGCTCCGGGCTCCCATCTCCATCCCAGCTCCGTCCCAGCCCGATCCCAGCCGGATCCCAGCTCCATCCCAGCCCGATCCCAGCTCCATCCCAGCTCCATCCCAGCCCGATCCCAGCACCATCCCAGCCTGATCCCAGCACCATCCCAGCTCCATCCCAGCTCCATCCCAGCCTGATCCCAGCCCGATCCCAGCTCCATCTCAGCTCCATCCCAGCCCGATCCCAGCTCCTGGTGCCTCCTCCTGCTGGGCGTCAGAATCGCCTTAACCGCAGATCAGATTAAGGCAATAAAACCCTTAAAGGGAGAAAACGCTCGGGGCAGGGGCTGGGCTGAGCAGCCGCGGGGCCAGCGGGGAGCTGAGCTCGCCCTGGAGGCGGCTTTGCCTTTCCTGCTTTGGCTCTTGCCCGGCTCAGCGGGGCCGGGATCGCTGCCTGTGCCTGGGCTGGGGGTGGGCTCCAGCCCCGCTGCAATTCCTCCTGCCCAGCACGGATCCAGCACGGATCCAGCGCTCCCTGGATTTACAGACACAAAATCCCAGATTCCCAGAGCGGTTTGGGTTGGGGGAACCTTGGGATTCATCTCCTGTCCCTGCCATGGGCAGGGACACCTTCCACTGTCCCAGGTTGCTGCAGACCCTGTCCCGCCTGGCCTGGGACACTGCCAGGGATGGGACATCATCGTCCCACCCCCAACCAGCCACAGCTCTGCCCCTCCAGCCTCAGCCCTGAGGAGGTTTGGGTCTGTCCCTCTCCTCTTCCCAATGCCAGCAGTGTGGGGATGCTGCTCCTGCATCCCTCATCCCCTGGACACTCCAGCCTCCCTGCCAGGGGATTTTCCATGAACAACCCTGGACTTGTAACATTGCTCTGAGCCCACAACCCGATTGGAAGAACACAATCACCCCTTGGTACCAAACAGACCCCAAAACTTCTCAAGGAAGTTTTTTCCCCATAGGGAGCGGCTCTTTCTGGCCCATCCCGCGTCTGGAGCAGCTCAGCCCCTTCCTCCTGAGCGTCCCTGCTCCTGCTCTTCCCTGGCTGTCCCCAGAGCCCCCCAGCCCCCTCCCAGCCTTATCAGCACACTGCTCTGAGCCCCCAACCCAATCTGAAGAGCACAATCTATACCAAACAGATCCCAAAACTTCTCAGGGATGTTTTTTTTCCCACAAGGAGCAGCTCCTTCCCGCACATCCCAGACCCCTGGAGCAGCTCGGCCCCTTCCTCCTGGGTGTCCCCACTCAAACCCTTCCCTGGCTGTCCCCAGAGCCCCCCAGCCCCCTCCCAGCCTTATCAGCACACTGCTCTCACTCCCCAACCCAATCTGAAGAGCACAATCCCCCTGTACCAAACAGGCCTCACAAATTCTCAGAGATTATTTTTTCCCCACAGGGAGCGTCTCTTTCCCGCACATCCCAGACCCCTGGAGCAGTTTGGCCCCTTCCTCCCGAGTGTCCCCACTCAAACTCTTCCCTGGCTATCCCCAGAGCCCCCCAGCCCCCTCCCAGACTTATCAGCACCACCCTGGACTCTAACACTGCTCTGAGCCCCCAACCCAATCTGAAGAGCACAATCTATACCAAACAGATCCCAAAACTTCTCAAGGATGTTTTTTTTCCCCACAGGGAGCGGCTCTTTCTGGCCCTCCTGTGTCTGGAGCATTTCAGTCCCTTCCTCCTGGGTGTCCCCACTCAAACCCTTCCCTGGCTGTCCCCAGAGCCCCCCAGCCCCCTCCCCGGTTTGTCAGCCCGGCCCAAGGCGATCTCAGCGTTCCAGGCTGATCCCACAGCGCATCCCCGTCGCCAGGACAACGGCAGCGCCCGGCCCGGCGTGCCTGCATCTGAGAGCTCAGAAGATTTTCCGTCAGCAACACAAACACTCCGCCTGGGCGCCTGCCAGGCTCTGCGGTGAGGCACGGCACCCTGCAGTGGGTGAATCCCCCGAAAACCCCGGGAATTCACCTGAATCCCGGCAATTCCCCCGAGCAGCTCGCGCCTTCCGCTCCGAATTCCCGAGGCTGAAGGCTCGGCCTTGCCTGGACCCGGGGCTGGGGGGGTTTGCCGGGGGTGGGAAGGGAGGCAGGGGGGGTTGAGACAGCTCCACTCCAGCCTCAGACGTTGGAATGTTTTCCCAGCGCCGCAGGAACGTGCTTGGGCACAGGGAAGAGGTGGCACCGGGGATGCTCTGGGCTCCAGAGGAGATTGAGGAGATCCAAAGTGAATCCAGCTCCTGGTCCTGCACCAGGGACAAAGCCCCAGCCTGGCAGGGACTGGAATGGGATGAGCAGGACATCAAGCAGGATTTTGGGATCTTGGGAAGGTGTTTGGCTGAGCAATTCCTGCTTTAACAATCCCCCACTGATCCCAACCATAACCTCCCTAGATCCTTTGCTCAGGATCCAATCTGGGTCAGGAAAGATGCAGGGAACAGGAAAGACACTCGGGTGAGTGAGGAAAATGAGGAGAAGTGGTGTCTCCATCTCCTTTCCCCCCCAAAAAAAGCCGTGGGTGGTTTACAGGGAATCAGCTTCTCGCTGACACAAAACTGCTCCACAAATCCAGATCCTTCCCCCTTTGCTTCCTGCAGGAATGCCAGCAGCTCCAGGCTGCTAAATATAAACCTGGGAGAGGAGAGGAGCTGAGAGAGGGGTAAAAATAGCCCCGGGCTCGCTGCAGCCTCTCCTGCCACGCCCGAGCTGCTCCCTGCTCCTGCTCTCGCCTCCCCGGGCTCATTTTTCCAGCTACACCTGGACCTGAATGGGATCTGCTGCTGGGAGTTCACATTAAAGCTGGGATTTATGGGATTGTGCTTGTCCTCAGCCCTTGGCTCCTCCCCGGCAGGAATTCACCCTGTCCCATACGGATACAGGATCCCAAAGCTGGAATTTATGGGATTTATGGGATTGTGCTTGTCCTCAGCCCTTGGCTCCTCACCAAGAGGAATTCTCCTTCCTTGACAGGAATTCACCCTGTCCCATATGGATACAGAATCCCAAAACTGGGATTTACGGGATTGTGATTGGGGATTTATGGGATTGTGCTTGTCCTCAGCCCTTGGCTCCTCACCAAGAGGAATTCTCCTTCCTTGACAGGAATTCACCCTGTCCCATATGGATACAGGATCCCAAAGCTGGGATTTGTGGGATTGTGAGCTGGGATTTGTGGGATTGTGCTTGTCCTCAGCCCTCAGCTCCTAACAGAGAGGAATTCTCCTTCCCTGACAGGAACTCACCCTGTCCCATATGGATACAGGGTTCCAAAGCTGGGATTTATGTGATTTATAGGACTGTGCTTGTCCTCAGCCCTTGGCTCCTTCCCTGACAGGAATTTGCTCTGTCCCATACGGATACAGGATCCCAAAGCTGGGATTTACAGGATTGCGAGTTGGGATTTATGGGATTGTCCTTATCCTGTGCCCTCAGCTCCTTCCCTGACAGGAATTTACCCTGTCCCATATGGGATCCATACAGGATCCCAAAGCTGGGATTTGCTGCAAGCAAAGCACCCCAACCTTGGTGCCAGGGGGAATTTAAGGTCAGCCTGGGGCAGGAAATGTGGGGCTCCAGGGGGAATTCAGGGTCGGGCCGGGCAATGTGGGGTGCCCCTCAGCCCCCCGGGGTTCCAGGAGCTTCACCCACCCTCCAGCCGCATTCCTTGTGGGGGAAAAAAAATCTCTTTTTACAGCTGCTGTCCCCGGCACGGATTTCAAAGGAAGAGCTCCTAGCGACCGCCTCTTGTCTTGTTTAATTTTGTTTAATTTTGTTTAATTTTGTTGGGTTTTTTTCCCCCCCTCAGTGTCCTAAAGGAAGCGGCAGCATTTATTGACTTTCCGAGGGAAAGTGCCACTTGTTAAGCAAAGCGATGACATCACTTTTGGTTTTACAGCCGGGCAGGAACAATGACAGCAAAGCCTGGATGCTGCCGGGGATGCAGAGCGAGCTGGATAATTAATTAACAGCAGGCAGGAACATGACGTTGCACGGCGGGACGCGAAGGGAAGGAGCAGTTTCGCACGGCAATGAGGAATTTAGGCATCAGCGGGCAAAAAAAATGAAATCACCCGGCTTGGAACCCGGCCAAAAGCCAGGATTAAAGC